TCCTTTGGAGTATGAAAATTCATTTTGAGGGCGCTGTTGGGAGACTTTGTTGTGGATTAGCCAGGACTTCAGTATCTATTCCTGCTCGGTTGATCATGCTGACAGTAGCCTGAAGCAGGATCCCCTCGCGACTCTCATCCGCTGTTCTTCTCCTGCATCAAGGTTGAGTGGCCTTTTTAATCACCGCTGAGGGCGGAGCGTGGGTGAACTGTCATGTTTGGCTATTACTTTACACTTAGAATTTAAGAGTCGCCAGCATGGCTGCTGGGTGCCTGCAAAGCCTTCGTGGAAGTTAGATGCCTTGAAGTTGGTTCCTGTGGTAGCAGCCCATTTGTACAACAAAACTAAACACTGCCTGGCCCTGCACCATCCTCACCATCCTTCGCATATTTGAGCAACTAGGAGGCTTAAATGCCAAAGGTACTGTGCACGAGCCTTTCCAGTGTCACGTGGAAAGGCTGGGAATGGAAAGAGGCCCGCTGGTTCTGCATTTTCACTTTGACAGGATTTAAAAGAATGCAGTGTAGTAGAAGTAGCTCCATATGAGAGCCCGAGGACTATTGTCTAATACTAGTTCTCTCAACACGAAATTCTGTTACTAGGGTTGGCCTAGTTAACCTGCCCGGGCTTCATTCTCCTAAGGCTGCCAGTTAGCACACGGAGTAAAACCTAAACTGCAATTAAAATCTTAGCTTAATAAATCACCAACTGTGAAATAGCACCTGCTTTACACTGAGAGATTGTGAGGATTCCTTCATTATCTTAATAATTTATTCACAGGAACATATCGAGTATCTACTTGTTCTACACCTCCTACCTGTCAGTTCGTCCTGTTGTGGCAGCTTGCATGAGGCAGTGATGCGGACCTGTGCCACTGGTATGTCAGATGTCAGTAGGATCATCAAAAACAGTGATTGTGTGTGTGTGTACAGATCTCAGCAGAATTTCTGGAATAGGATAGACTAGGAAGAAAGGCCTGGTGAGCTACTTCCAAAACTTAGCCGATGAAATCTGCCACCAAATGTTGACTCCCGATCAGACAGGTTTTAGTCTGTAATGCACGGCATCACCAGAACGTGGGAGCTGTCCTGAATCAACACACAACAAGTAATGGTGAGGGTTAACAGTGATGACATGAGAGTACCACTGTACAGGCGCTGGAATCACACAGTACAGGATAGGCTGTACATTGTGAGAAACCACAGGACTTGTGCATGCGACCTAACAGCTCAAGGCCTCGGGGCTCCCCTTCTGTTCTTGGCCAAGGTTATTCCTAGGGTGATGAGCTGGGTAAAAAACCCGCCCGAGCACTGGTGAAGCTAAGTTTTAGCTGCTTCTATTTTCATCATTCCACACACCATTTTTGCTGATGGGTTAGCACTCTGGATGTGGCTGTGATGGTGAATAATAATTATTATTAGAAGTAGCTCAAATGTAAGTTCATAGTTTCTGGGCCACTAGTGCTATTTTTCAGTCTAATTTCTTTGTCCAACAGTTTATGGATGCTGCGTCTCTTAGTTTGCATTTTCATTTTTTAGTTGTCTGTGTATTTGTTTGCCTTAAGAAATGTGCCACTGCAGTTCAACTGCAGTAGAATGATCACTTTCCTTATTAAAGGCAAGCACTAAGATATATTTTTCTCAGGTTGTTCAAGTTCCCTTAACTTCCGTGGAAACATTTACAAAGACATTTGGTAGGAGCTGATGCTTCTCTTCGGTTTGCTAATAGTCAAATGGAAATCTCACCAAATATTGAGTATTTTCAGTTCAAAATGACAAAATAGCATAAGCACCTATCAGAGTAGTATGTCTGACATATTCTTTGAAAAAGTTCATACTTAACTGTTCAACTTGCTTGGAATCAAGCTGTAGTTTCTATAGAAGCTTATGACAAAAAAGAAAAAAAAAGATTTTCGATAATATTTTATTGACTACTAAACCAATGAAAATTTAGGTATCGCTAATTGTAATGATAATTAGTCATTGGTAGGTGTCCTGAACTCACCCCCAACTCATGTTACTTATAACTAGACAAACTGTTTCCCAATCCTCTGTGTTCTCACACTACTAGTTGTCTTGGTTCTGTCATGCTGACGTGACATATTTTCCACAAATAGGTGGTTTTAACAAGCAGAAACAAATTCTCTAGAGGCTAAGAGGTCGAGGGCGTGAGCTTAAGTAGGAATCTTTCCCTGTAGACTGTGGTGACAGTGGGTTATGTCTTGGGATGCTAACCACAAGGTCAGCACTTTGAAACCACCAACCACTCTAAAGAAGAAAGAGGAGGCTTCCTTCTCCTGTAAGAGTTTGCAGTCTCAGAGCTCCTCAGGGGCAGTTCTACTCTGTCCTGTAGGGTCTCCGTGAGTCAGAATTGACTTGGCAGTGAGTGAGCAGACTGTGGTGAAAGGTTGAGAGCCTTCTTTTGAGCGTCAATCTGTATGTGGTTTGGCATCACTCGTTCCCACCTCTGCTTGCTCACTTACTTGTTTATATTTCAAAAGAAGGAACCCAGGTATGGTTGTGGGTTAGGCTTGGGCAGATAACTGCAAGGTCTGTGGGTGGTTCAAATCCAACTCCAAAAGAGAAAGAAGAGGTTGTCTATTCCTGGAAAGATGTGCCAACTGAAAAACCCCCTGTAGGGGTTCTGTGAGTCTGAAAAGCTTGGTGGCCATATGCTTGGGTGCTCATCTCAAAAGAGATTGGCTGAACACAAACTCTAATTCTGGCTCATTAACATAACAAAGAAACTCCATTCCCAGAGGGGATTGTAATGCATCTAAAAGGCTTATGCTCACAGCCAATTGTTAATCTGAGTGACTTTATAGAACAGTGTACCTGGCACATAGGTTTCCAAGGCTGCAATTTTACAGAAACGGAATCCCACGTCTTTCTCCAATAGAACAGCTAGTGGGTCCAAAGCACTGGCCTTTTGATTAACAGTCATAGTCATTGCAGCACAGGTTTTGTAACATATATTTTGGAGACAAAATGAAGTCTTTAAAAGCAGGTAAGTTTCTGTCCATAGCTACCGCCGCTTCATCAGCTCATTTCAGTGAAGGTCTGCTTTTTCTCTAACCCTTTGGTTTATCTAGCATGGGGCCTATGTTAGACCAGTTGACTAGAGAAGCAGATCCAGTGACACTCCCATGTGTGTGAAAGAGAGCTTTTCTTCAAAGAGCAATTGTTTATTGAGAAAACATCATGTCCTTAAGTCCGATATTAGCCCATGTGTCTGATACTAGCCTACCAATTCCTCTTCAGACTCACACAGCACATACAATGATGCTGAATTCAGGGAGATCACAGGCTGGTGGGTGAAAAATCTTGTGGATCCAGTGGCAGTGGAAGCACTCAGCACTGGCATGGGTCTCCACGTGGTTCCTTCAGCTCTCTAAATGTGGCTTTTTAACAGGAAGACCAAGGCAAAGAGAGAGAGGAAGTTCCCAGAATCCTCCTGAGAAGGCCAGGCCCACAAGGAGGCATTATCAGGCTGTGACCTGATTGACAAGCGAGACTCCACTATGTAACTCCCACAATACCTTTCTCCAGGGACCTATTCCTCTTGATAACATAATCATAGTAATTGAGACAAAATCTTGCCATTATTGCTTGTAAGGAGAATTCTGACTCCAAGATAGATCTATTTGTTCTTTTGGCAGTCCATGGTATCTTCAATATTCTTCACCAACAATAGTCATTACCAATCATATAATTCAAACACAATTCTTCAGTCTTCTTTTTTCATTGTCTAACCTTGACATGCATGTGTGGTAATTGAAAATAGCATGGCTTGGATCCACCTTTCAAAAGGGACTACGACTAAATGTTAAAAAGAAATCCTTACAACTGGACCCATAAGTGACATCATGATGAATGGAGAAATGATACAAGTTGTCAGGGATTATATCTTGTTTGGTTCTATGACTGTTTATGGAAACAGCAATCAAAAGATCAAAGGACATATCACATTGGGTAAATCTGCTACACAGGGCTTCTTTAAAGTGGTGGAAAACAAGGAGGATACTTTGTGGGCTAAGGTATGTCGCAGTCAAGCGTGGCATTTATAAATCACCTCATATGCATGTGAGATGTGGCCATTGAATAAGGAAGACTGGAAAATTGATGGGTTGCATTATGGTGCAAACAAAGAATATTGAAAGTGCAATAGATTGCCAAAAAAACCCAAACAAATCTGTCTTGGAAGGCGTGCAGCCAGAAAGCTATTTAAAAACAAGAATGAGGTCTCCATTTCATGCCTTTGAACATGTTGTCAGAAGAGACCAGTCCCAGGAGACTCCATCATGCTTGGCAAAGTAGAGGGCAATGAGAACGAGGGAGATTCTAAAAGATGGACCGGCACAATGTTTGCAACAGTGGGATCAAATGTAACGACTATTGTGAGGATGGTGTAGGACCTGGCTGTATTTCATTGTGTTGTACATAGAATTGCTATGAGTTGGAACCAACACAAGGGCACCCAACAATAACAACAACAACAACAACAATATACCACAAATGTTCCTTTTTTTCCATAAGGTGTACTTTGACTCACTTTTAATTTTAGAAAATCACTAGGCCATTCTTACCAGTTTGCTTTATTCTGGAACCTTTACTGAAACCTGTCTTTCGTGGGGGAGCTTAGTGATCCTGAAGTACCAGTGTCACAGCTTCCAGTATCCCAGCAACAAGCAAGCCATCCCAGGACAAACGAACAGAGAAGGGATGGCACAGTGACTCCTGCAGCTTTATTTACAGCTTGAAGAAATTTTAATATCAGTGTTTTTATATCAACTTTCATCCCTTTATAATTGTCCCAGGTGAACTAGGGATCATTGCTGATAAACTACTTTAATTTATTAGTATGAAGCAGTGCCTAAGACTGTGTTGCTTTTGTGGGCAATTGGGGCTTCTTTCTTTCATTTCTTTTCTTCTTCCACTTTAGAGTGCCTGTTGGACCATATCTTTGACTCCCTGTATTTGGTTTGTCTCCCACCTGTGTAGATGAACTTCTTTTCCAAGGCCCTGTGTTTATGAAAGAGCCCAGCAACAGCATTTTCCCTGTTGGTTCAGAAGATAAAAAAATAACTTTAAATTGTGAAGCAAGAGGCAACCCTTCACCTCATTACAGGTACAGTGAAATGTTGGAAATTTCAATGGTTTTTAGAGATTCGATGTAGCAACTGTGAACTGTGTCTTCCCTTCAGTATATTTACGTGTAATAAGTAACACATGAAGCTCTACTTTTAAGCCTGATATGCTAAGCAAATCACTGCATCTATCTTGTATATGATTGACATGGTTTCATTTTTTCTGGACTGAAAGAAAGAAGCAGAGTTTCTCACTCTCTCTCTCTATGCCATTGGTCAGTGTTGACTCGGGGTGACCCAAGGATGTAAAGAAAAGGTGTGGGGGGGGGGATATCTGAACTTCCATGACTTGACAAACAAAAAATTTACATGGTGGATTGTTTGAAGGAGATGGATATTTACTTTATTAAATAACATGCGGTAAAAAAATGTTACCTCTTGGGGTACTTAGGGGACTCACTTAATGAAAAGATAAATTATTTATAAAGAGCACATGCTGCCTTTGTGTAAGTGACTCTGATACTCCAATGCTAGAGGCTGCTTGACAAGCTCGAACATGCTCTTTCAAGTGCTGTGAGCATCCACCTCCAAAACTTTGTTTAAACTATTGGTTTGCTTTGCAAAACCTTTTTCTAAGCCTGAAGATTAAGCAAACTTCAGTCTGCATTGATAGAATTACATTTTGTAGAGTCTTCCAATATTGATCTTGAACTTCTATTGTTCTCTTAACCCATATAAATAATAAAAGCCAGAAGTCATTGTAAATTAGGTCAGGACTAAGTTAGAATATAAACCATTGTATTTGTGCAATTGGAAATTGGTAAGATCATTGTCTTTGGAAGTATTGCATATTGGTCCAGTGCATACAGCAGTATGTTTCTTGAGCATCTCCTGTGTACTTTCAACAAAATAAAATCATAATTTTAGATAACTAACTGGTCAGAGTTTGCAGAAGTGTTAGACAAATTTTCTGTTTGCCCCCTACTGTCCCTATTGTCTCCATTAAAAGAAAATTATAATGGTTAAAAAACCATTAAAAAAACCATTCGGTTAAAAAACCGAAACTATTTTATGAAATCATTCAATTAATTGGGTATAAACATATTTGACATCTAAAATATATTTGTTTCAGGGGATAGATGAATTGATCAAACTTAGAAAATTATTCATCTGAAAATATTTTTCTTGTCCATAATTTTCTTTAGCACATCCTCATATGTCTTTAATGCATCTGGGGTTTTTTTGCTTGAAGTGGAAGATTGTCTTCATTGACATGGCTGTAAATATAGTAAAGAATCAATGTGAATGATACATAAGTTGGCTTTTTTTGTTATCAGTAAAGTATTATTTCTTGATATTCATCTTAAGAATAATTTGTTGATAATATGTTTAGATGAAATATTGCCAAGTTACAAGATTTAAAGTCATATAGGAATACACTTTTAAATAAGTAGATTAATTATGCTTGCGAGGTTTTATCAAATAGTCAAAAGCCTATGTTTAGAAATATGGAAATATATTTTATTATAATTTTAAAAACTTGTATACTAGGCAATTGTATTGTCGTAGAGATATGTTTGTTTATAACTATACCATTTATAACATATTATTGAAGATGTTTGTCCTTGTACAATGATTCTTAAATTTGGTTAGATTCTTCACAATATTGTTCTGGCATTTTGTTAACACTAACTAAATATCTGTAAGGCGGGACTATGAGATGTGTGGCTTAAATTAATTTATCATCTTAAGCCTACTAAATAAAGACATTTAACAAGCTAGATAAGCTTTATTATATTTTAAGATGCTTGACTTGGAATCAAATGGAGCAACATTTTTTATTGTACCTTTAATGATTTTCTAAAGTGAAGGCATCTGATGAATATGAAAGTTTACTTAAACCAAGTAAAAGAGCATTATTTGGGGGATCCAGTTCACACAGGGTTCTTTGAAGAAAACAAGTGTAAGCAGACCATATCTCCCTGGCCAAGGGCTGGGTGCCGAAGAATAGAGAGGTAATACACTAGTCTTGGTCTTGTTAGGGCACTTTCATAAAGAGAGAAGGAGACGAAGAAGACACTTTTTGTGTTGTGGGGAATACGTGATTTTGAATCAGAGCTCACATCAAATTTTTTAACAAAACTCAAGTGGACATTTCCCGAGTCATTGAAGCTTTGAAACAAGTTTATGAGAATGCAGCCTCACAGAAAATATCATTTTTTAGATGGATCACATGTTTTCAGGAAGATTTCAAAGATCAGCTAAGAGAAGGAAGACCGCCAGGAAAGTAAGTGGATATACTGTGAGAAAAGTCAGGAAACTTCTAGAAGAAGACTGTGGCATCAGCCCTGATGTGATGGCTGTTGAAGCTGGACTTTCACAAAGTTTGGCGATCTCCGTTTCTAAGGAGTATCATGAGCCCAGCAAGCTTTCACCTCCACGAGTGTCAAAACTGCTGTGTGAAGATCAATTTGCTCAAATAGTAGATCATCCCATCAGTCTTTATGATAAATCGAAGCAAATGAGGATAGTTTTATGGAATAAATCATAACAGAGATTTACCAATAAGACCCAGAGTGTCCTGTCCAATCAAAAATGTGGCGTCCAAGAGTATTTGCTGGGGCAATTAAATTCAAGACAGAAGGGTCAGCCAGAAGATCATGATGGCTGTCTGTTTTCATAGAGTTACAAAAGGATAATCTTGGTCGCTTGCTCTCAAGGGACCCAGTATGTTCCTGGTGGCTTATTATGAAGGCCTCTGTAGAGAAATGAAAACTGTATTGATGAGCGAAAAGGCTTGGAAAATTGTTCAGAGGGATATTTTTACCCACTATCAAGAAAAATCACTTGGTCTTGCTTTAAGACTAGTGAGAACCATTCTAGGAGAATTTCGTCCATGCCATAAAACTTGTCCCATAAAACTTTTTTTTTCTGCTCCACAAACTCAAAGAATATTTTAAGGGGGCATGATGTACGGCCTCCAGATACAAAAACTATTGTTGTGATGGAGTTTAAACTAGACAGCACAAGTGTTACTTGTGTTAGAGGGTCAAGCAACAGCTGTTTCATATTTTGATATTTTGTTTCATAAAGGTGTCTATGATTTTATAATAATTCTTTTTGACTCACACTCATATATATTAATACTGAGGACATAGAAATAATACTAAGGGAGATTATAAAAGTTTTAAGGAAAGATACTTTAAAATAAATATGTTTATAATATATATATATTATGTACACACAAAACACACACACACACATATATATATATATATATATATATATATATAAATATACACACACACATACAAAACACACACAAGTGGGGAAACGAACTTTGGAGGTTATTTGAAACCATAAATTAAAGGTATCCCAACCATGTTTTCAAACATTCCTAATAGAGTTTAATAAAAGTCTTAAAAGATTGCCATTTGAGAGCCCAAGTCTGTCTTGTATACCAAGAAAAACTTATCTTTGGAGAAGTCCTTTCTTTGTTACTCTCCCATTAAAAATAACCTTTTAAATGACCATATTAGAAATCCAAAAGTTCAGAAATTCTCAACAGAAATTTTTTTAATAAGTGGAATTAATACATATATCAAATCATTCCATAGTTCAGGCATGTCCAGCAGAACTGTACATTTGCTAACACAATCAGTTTCAAATGCAGATGTTTTCATTTTGTAACCTCTTTCCTTTTAAGTGCTGACATGTTTTTTTATAAATTCTTTTTAGACATGCAGATAGGCCGTGGAAATTAAGGTCTTCTTGACTTTGTGTTTTCAACTTTTGGGATAGCTGGCGGTTCTAGATCTTTACTGTCAAATAAAATAGACAATGACCACATGGTGCCATTGAAATTTAAATTGATAAAATAAGATATAGTTCACTTCCCAGTTACCTTAGCCACAATTCAAACGATTGGTAGTTGTATATACCCAAACCCAAACTCAGTGCTGTCGAGTCTACTCCAGCTCACACGGCAAGCGGATATTATATTGACTGACACAAGTAAACATGTCCTTCCAAGGATAGCATTGCTTTCCAGGGTCAGAGAACCTTTTTTCTGCCAAGGGTGACTTAAATATTTATAATACCATCTGTGGGCCACACTGATCAAACATTTAATTATCTCGCCCTCCTTTTTGCTAGAACTGCTTCTCTTGGTGAGGCATACGGTATTAGCTGGTGTTGATGATGTTGAAGGTCTTGTAGTGGTGGAGGAGAGCACTGCTCTAGTTCACAGGGTCACTGTGAGGCGGATCGACCTGATGGCAGTCAGTTTGGTTTTGGATTCTATGGACCAATGCCCAGACATTCCTCACCCCTGCCAGACCGTAGGTTCCTAAGATTATTTGGCCTACAGCCTTCTTTTCAGAAAGATAAAAATTATACCGTGACCCCCTGGAATTATAATCTCTTGTGCTGTAGCCTACACTCCAGAATAAAGTGTAGCTGTCTGATATTGCAGCTTCTCTGGATCATTGTAATGCACCCCAGGGGTGGGTGGGGCTGTATCCCCCGCTTTGGGAAATACTGCTCTAGACTGTAAGATTTACAGCTTTTTCTTATGAATGTACTCCTATACCTTTTACTTTCTATCGAGTGATCAAGAAAATCATTCTGTCCTCCAGCTCTGTAGAACAAATAAACTACTGGATAAAGAAATTTTGTTACACAGTTGTAATGGCTAACCATCATTTCAAAGTTCAGATTTTTTTCCTGGCCTCTGTTTCCACCATTAAGTATGGTCCTAATAAAGGAATAATATTGTACACATTATTTAATATGCTGACATTTAACTCAATGTATGCAGTGCAAGAAAGAAAAGGGAAATGAAACAATAGACTATTTTCTCTTTACCATTAATTCAAGGAGTGACTGGGGAAGAAAGTTTTAGTTGTTTCTTTGAGAGCACACATACATTATGGAATGTATATACATACACATTTAATCCATAATATGTATATGGCTATATACAAGGTGACTTCAAACAGTTTGTGGGAAAATCCCATCATCTCTCAGTTCTACTTTTGAC